TTTGCAATGTATAAATTCAAGTATTCACTGGTGTGTAATTTAAGACTTTATCAGTGAAACGTATTAATTTATGAAGTATTTTCTGTTAGCATCTGCAGTAAGAACAGACGGATCAAATGGAAAATGTTAGGTCTTCAGAGTCAGGCAGGTGGCCCATATTTCAGCAGAACACACTGTGCAGAGGCTGGCCTGTCCTGTGCTTGTCTATTTCAAAGAGTTACAACAAGCCAACATAAACTCCTCAGATCCTTACAGGGTGTATATACTGTACATCTTTAAACGTGTGCAGTGAAAGGTGGCAGGTAACATGCACTCCAGCTCTTTCTTCAAGGTTTTATTTTCATCTGAAAACTCCAGATCTGAAGCTGCCTCTCACCTTATTACTGTTTTTGTATTTTTCCCACTTGTTCACCATTTTCAACCATTTCTCTGCTCTCTCTACCTCCAGCTGCTTCACCTGTGACGGTAAGAGGAGAAAGTGAAACTAAGAGTCAACCTCTTGATTTCAGAACTTCAAGACCTTCCTCTTCATTACCTTCTCCTCATGCACAGTCGGGGCCGGCAGCTCGCTCTCACTGGAAAACAAAAAGAACCCATCAGGGGCCTCACAGCGCCACCACCTGGCTGCAGGGCCCAGAACAAGAGTGAGTGAGCTTACTGCATGAAGCCGAAGCGGTCGATGGATTTATAGAGGCTGTAGTCAGCATCCTCCCAGGGGTCGATGTCCACTCCTCCCTGTCTGTCCTGCAAACCCAGAAACATTCAGATTTATCTCCATGAGCACAGAGAGACAAACACAAACTGAAACATGGAGCCGCCTCAGACACCACCACAACGAATAATAAAATAACATAATTATTCCTTTTCTGCCAAGAGTTTGGTTTTAGCAGCCAGATCAGAAGCAGGAGAGAAATGTGCAGTGAAAAACTACTGGAACTGGAATAATGGAGAACCTTTAAAAATTCACAGTAATGATATTCACAAACTTAAATGTTATAAAATGTTGGTTTTGTAAATAAGAAAGAAACCAGACAATCGGGTAATAATTGTTTTAAAATACATAAGGAGTAAATAAATACTGTATAAGCTGAAAACTCTGACCATCAGTTTGTCTCAGAATCAGAATGATCTTCATCACAAAGTTTAAATGTTTTTATGTTTCAAGAAACCTTAGTAAATGATCTGTACTGATATAACTCCTTTCTGTCCAACCAGGATACCCAAAAACACTTCAATCTGTGTCCTCATTCACCCGTTCATACAGCACTCTATCAGCTCTCTACAGAGCTAACAGTAAATCATCTAATCAGTGTTAATCACATTCAGACACTGATCGGACACACATCAGTGTCTTAACAGACTGTTGGATCCTCCCAGTCTGGCTGCTGGCCACAAAGAAAAAGGTCCAGCACAGGTGGGACAGGATGCCCCTCAGAAAGAACACACTCAGTTAACACTCGTTAACACACTCAGTTAACACGGTTTAACACACTCAGTTAANTTAACACACTCAGTTAACACTGTTAACACACTCAGTTAACACTTAGTTAACACTGTCAGTTAAGCATTTAAAACAGAATGCATTGATCTGAAGGAACACAGAGTTTAGAAGAAGCAGGAACTGACTGTAGCGTATTTGAAGATGATGTCATCCCGTTCCTCTGCTAGTAGAGTCTGGATGTCTTTCTTCATGTCAGTATCTGCAGAGAGACAGAGGATCAACAGCTGAAGATGACTCAGCTCATACATGTGGGTGATTCTCTGGACCAAACACACCGACTTGGTTTAGAATAAAACCTGTGGAGTGAGAAGAATCACCAGGTTTTATCAGATCTTTGTAAATGATTAGAGTAATTATAAATAAAGTTCATCAGGGTGAATGGTTGAAGGTCTGAACTTATTTAGTGCTTGATCAAGTCCCTACGGATTCCAAAGAGCTTCAAACTGTAGTACCTTACCCATTCATACACACATTCACCCATTAATACACACATTCACCCATTCATTCACACATTCACCCATTCATACACACATTCACCCATTCATACAC